ATTAATAAATATATACCAAATTCAATTAACATTGAAGAGCTAATTTTTCAAAAACTACCTGTGCAATTTTTACAGAACTTGGCAGTTTGGCATTATTTGAGTTGTAGGATCGAAATATGGAAAAAAAATGGCATATCATTTCAGATTAAGTCTGCTTTTGTGTCAAAATACCTATATTAGAACAATGCTATATGTAAATCTAATACATGTCCTAAGTCGAGCTTTTGAGACTTGAAAAATGCAAATTGAATTTCGTCAATAGGCCCAGTAGAACAGGAGATACAGAACTGTCCGCCCCCTTTTTTTTTTTGCACCTTCAGTATAATTTTGTTTTGTAATGCTCTCAGTACTTACTAGCAGCTCGTTTCCATTTTCCAATAACTAAATTCTAAATCAGTTGTATGTGTTCATCTTCATTTTGTTGTCCTTTTGCTCATGTACTGGATTGGGTGATAACTGCCATTGTCAGACAACTGGAGTAGTACACAGCCAAGGCATCAGTATGCAGTTCTAATGGATATCCCTGCCTAAATATGCGTAAAAGGTGCCTCAGAAAGAATTTCTTTGATAAAATTATAAAATTGATTTAACCCTTTGAGGAGCACATTAAAAGTTTTTCAGTGTTTGACGAAATTAATTGAATACCAGTACCTTTGAGCTTCCTAAATGTGAAATGTACAGGAAAAAGAAATGTTGCACAACTTGGAAGGGAGATGGGTGGTAACTTAGGAGTGAACTTTTTAGCATTGATTTTTATAGCAATACATATAAGTATAATTAGTTATGATTATTTGTCAAATATTAATTAAATATAATTAACTGCATAATTTAAAAATATAGTACAAATAATACTATTTATTCTGATCTGATTTCAGAAGCAAATTTCATATGATGTTATTCTAAATGTATAAATATATTAAGTAAATGTTAAAAATGTAAAATTTTATAAAATTCTATCTTCATATTTTCAAGAAAAGTAGTATGTAGAATTTATCTAAAATATATGTTATTACTCACATATTCACACAACTTTACAAATTATGAAACTTTTGAAAACATGTGATGCCTTTCTGATAATTACATAATGGTAAAGTAAAAAGATACAGCTATCTTTAGAAAAAGAGGATAAAAGAATAAAAAGATCTTACTCTTTTATTTATTTTTCTGAAAGAGCAATCAATACCTTCTCCCCAAACTTATAACACCCCCCATCTTGTGTAACAAATAGATCACATTATACCCAAGAAATCAGAAAATACATAGGAAAGTTTTATCTCTAAGATCGTATTACATATCATATTACACCCTAGCAAACAGAAAAATACCTAGGAACATTTTGTTAAATTATAAAAAAAAAAAAAAAAAAAAAAAAAAAAAAAATGCAAAATTTATTATTGATTTCCCTGAATATTAGCATTTTTAAAAATAAAAGAGTATATAAATAAAAAAATTCATAAGTTGTACTTGGATAACTAGATGAATTTTTTATGGAATTAGTGAGAAAAATTGTAATTTTTTATGTTTGAAGTTTAACCAGGTATAAATCAATACAGAAAAAAAGATCTGTTTTGTGCTGCCATCCGTTGGTTCTTTTAAGTATTAAAAAAATTATTACTACAGTAAAACCACTCAAAAAAGATTTCTTAACAGAGGGTTTCAAAGGTTGACTCACTGTGTGCCGCAAAGGGTTCAAATAAATTCGGAAGAGTTTTTTTCGGGACATCTGTATTCGGGAGTTTTTTTGGGACATACATATGTATGTATTTCGCATGACTCAAAAATGAGTAGCTTCAGAATGTTGAAATTTTTTATATGGGACTGCTATGCATGTAGTTGTGTGCCTCCCTTTTTGGTTGCATATATACCCTCTCTCTCTCTATATATATATATCCACTTTGTTACTTGGCTCAGCGAGCTCTTTTATTATTATTATTATTATTATTATTATTATTTTATTCTTATGTATTGGTAAGTTGTGCATTTTTACTTCCTTGTACGAAGTAAAAAGCAAGTATTGTAATCGCGAAAAGTTTCAGGCAGCATATTTCAACGAAAATATCCATTTTGACGGCTATCGAATGAAATTTAACCATGTTTTTGCGTGATATCTGTACATAAGGACAGAATAAAAGACTCTTTTCCTCCAAAAAAATTATAAAACTGCTTTAAAATGAATTCTGAAGAGAATTCTTAATGGTGTCTGTACGAACATATGTCTCGCATAACTCAAAAACGAGTAGCCTCAGAACCTTGAAATTTTGTATATAGGACTGCTATAACATGTAGATGTGCACCTCGTATTTTGGTTGCAATCGGCCGCACCAAACATATATAAATATATTTATATATTATATCCACTCTGTTACCCGACTGAGTGATCTCAGTTTCTTTACTCTTATATGTTTGTAAATTGTACATTTTTTGCTTTAAAAATGATTGAATTATGTTGTTCTTATCTTCCGGTTAAGGTTTTTATGCCTTTAGTAAATCTATATGCAATATTTTTAGAATTATCAACAATTTTAAAGTTGTTTAAGTGCCGCTAAGCCTAATAATGTTTTTGATAGCAGTCATTGCTTATTTACATTTGGAACAGCAGAATAGTGGATTTCTTGCCAATCTAGAGAAACTTAGCTTCACAACAACAAAGATAACGCCTTCATTTATTATTGCGAATTAAATCATGCTTAATCCTTTCTGAAATTTTTTCGAGGAAATAAGTGTTTAAGATTTACTTCGTAATTTTAATACAGATATTTTGACTTTTTATGTATTTTTGCCTTGTTGCGAAGTGAGAACTGAATTAATTGAATGAGAAGTACTCAATCGTCTGTGAAAAACTGTTTCTTTTTTGTTTTGTTTGCTTAATTTCTTTTATATGTCGTTCTAGCTTTATTATAGTATTTGAATAGAACATGTGGTAACGATTAGATAATTCTTTAAGTGATATAGATTTTGTGCATTCTGAGTTATAATATGAGCGAAATATAATACTGTTAAGTGAACCTAGCGCCAGAGTGTCGTTATGGTAAACAAATAGAGGGAATTTTAAAGAGTGCATTTATTCTATTGTGGTTTATGCGCTATTGACGAAGTAGATTTAATTATATCCAATAAGTTTAAATGAAATGCAAGAAAAATGCGTATAATTTAATATTCCGTACAAGGAAATCTTGTGGTGTACACATCAGATTTTTTGCTTTAGAAATGATTGAATTAGGTTGTTCTTATCTTCCGGTTAAGGTTTTTATGCCTTTAGTTAATCTGCATGCAATAGTTGTAGAATTATCTGTCCCCCCCAACCATAGTAGCAATATTTGTTTACATTTCAAACTTAGCAGAATAGTGAATTAAATCAGTTTCAACACATTCAGTGTCTTTTTGCCGAGTGGAACGAAAAGTAAATTTTCAGTTTTGCCCACTGAAAAATCTTCCTTGCCTGCTGGCCAAGTTGCTTGTTTTTAGTAGAAACTGTAGTTTTCATCGTAAACATTGTTTTTTAAATTGTTTTATGTTTTTCTGAAATTTTCAATTTTTAATGAAGATATTTTAAGGTTTTATGTATTTTTGCCTTGCCACAAAGTGAGAACTGATTTAATTGAATGAGAAATGTACCTCAAATGAAATTTGAGGAAATAAATTTAAATGAAATGCAGCAAAAAATGCATATAATTTAACATCCCATACAAGGAAATCGTGTGGTGTCTGCATCAGATTTTTTACTTTATTTTTAAACATTGCTTACCTTGCACTTATATCACATAAAATTCAATAGTCAAATTACAAAATTTTTAAAAGTAGCATATTTTTAGAATTCTTGATAGTGTTAATTTTGTCATACCATTATACCATTTTGTATTTTTGTTTGTTAAGTCTTTTCTCAGTTCATTATACCAAAGTTCAGTTCCCTTAACAAGATAACCTGCACAACTTTTTTTTTAACTTAATTATTAAACATCTCTTTCTTCACACATATGCCGCATAAAATTCAACAATAAAACCAGAAAATATTTGAAAACAGCGTATCTTTAGAATTCCTGATAAAGCATTACACGTTGCTTGCTATACACGTTTTTATGTTAACTATATTATTTATTTAAAAATAGTTATTACCATAACATTTGTTAGCAGCATCCTTTTATTTTGTGTTGCCATGCTTTTTTTTAATTCGTTGTATTATTTCTTTAAAAATAATACATGTCTGTAATATTTGATGGCAACATTTGAAAAGTGATATGAACAAAAAAGTGAGGTTTGAGACTAATAGCACTTCTGATGCTAAAAATCAATCGACAAGCTTCTGCAATTATTTTTCAGAAAATAAAGTTGTTACTGATAAAAATATCAAATAACAGTAAATTTATTGAAGCATTCTTCTTAGCACCTAATTATCCCACACATTGTTCTATTTTCAAAAGATTTGATAATTGCCCAATATCCCAACTCCATTCATTTGGAAATTGTTAGAATCAGATAAAATGGACATCGCTTACAGTTCTCTGTCATGTAAATAATATTGTCCGATAATAGAATAATCAATTCTTGCTCCTTTTTCTATTAAGTGGGCATTTTATAAATGCATAGCATTCACGTTGGACAAAATTTGGGGGATAATTTTTTTTTTTTTTTTTTTCTTTGATTTGATAGAATACACTTAGTGTATTACAGGATTAAAAAATGTGGGTGAGTACTAATGGAATAGTGAGTGTGTCTAGGTTTATGAAGTTGTTAAAATATGAATCAGATCCTAAAAACTATACTATTGCCAGTCGTGACTGTATTGTTATTTAAATGTTGTTTTTCTGAAGTTAAGGAAGCTCATTAGTTCTTTTTTAAACTATTTGATTTAGTTTTATAAATGTAAATTTTCTGCATTAATCATAATTTTGTTTATGTTTGAAAACTACTTAATCTATGGACAGTTTATATACTTTCAGAGTTGTGTTTTAATTATTTTTAAATATTGTGCTTTATGATCATTTTATTTTTTATAATTTCAGAAGCGAAAAACTTAAAATCTACCCAGATTTATGATCATTTTATTTTTATAATTTCAGAAGCGAAAAACTTAAAATCTACCCAGGAAGTGACAAATCTGCGTGACAAAGTTTACACTGCGTTAGAAGAATACTGCAAACAGAATTATCCCCAGCAGAATGGTAGGTTTCCAAAGCTGCTGCTTCGACTGCCAGCCCTGAGGAGCATTGGACTCAAGTGCCTCGAACATCTATTCTTTTTCAAACTGATTGGAAACACCCCCATTGATCATTTTCTGATATCCATGCTGGAAACACCCAGTGATACTTAAGTATACATCTAGTCAGCATTTCATTTTTCTGTCTGAAACATGGTCAGTCTGTTCAATGGTTCTAATTTTTCTTGCTGGTTTGACTTTTAACTTTCATGCTTGTGTTTTTTGTGCTTCATGTACTGAATTATTATTACCATTATTTATGATGTTTTATTTGTACCATACACTTGCTTGGGTCTTAAGGCATTGTTTTTAAATCTCATATTTCATCATTTTATTGGCTTTCTGAGCATGGTTATCTTACTCTTTTCTTTATTGGTAAAGATTTTTCAAGAAACTGTATCTGCCTATTGACTAGAATAGTCTGTAAAATAAGTGTAATTGAAAATGTTAGTTGATTTTTTGAATTTATCTATGAAAGTAGAGTAATGAAGTACAAATCAATTTCAATTGACTGAAGTTTATAAATCATGCTGTATATTAAGTTGGTCTATTAACTGTGTCTTGCAGCAAATGCATTGCTTTTTATATGAAGAAGTGAATGAACTTGATAAAAATGTTTTTATTTCTTAATCATATACATAACCATGCTATCATGCTGTATATCATTCTCAAGGCAACTGAAACACTGCCATAAATGTTCAGACGGGTTTGATCTTTGAACCTGTGTTTTTTGTGCATATAGTGCAAAATCTTAGGTGGATATCTTTTTATTTTAATATATTTATATTTAGGAAGTTTTATATTCATCATTAGAATAATTTCTGTCAATTTAGTATGAAATACATTCCTTTCTAGTGAATCAGGAATGAAGATTTAGTATTGAAAACTATGTAGTTTCACAGTGTCGTTGTGTTTATTTATTTAATATGTTTCATTTAAAAATATACTTATTTATATGCAAACAAGTAAAAGTTACTTTCATTAATTAAAAAAAATGTATTGCATTTGGATAATCATCTATTCAGGATATAAATTTATCTTCTGTGATAGAAATTGCATTAAAGCATAATAATTCATTGTTTGAAAATAATCAGAACTTTTGCATAAATTTTAAGTATTGTTATAAATTTTAAGTTTAAAATTTATAACAATATTTTATCATATTTATTATAAATTTTAAGTATTGTTTTGTGATCAAGTACTCTTAATTTTAAATGAGATGTTTAATGAGTATTCAGAAAAACTGCTAAATTGTTGATATTTTATATAAAATTTGTTATAATGTATGTAACTATATATTGTTGAACTATCTAACAACTTTATAAACAAAATTAGCATTTAATAGAATTTAAAGGTTAAAGATGCTGTATGGTTTAAAAGTGATGAATGTATTTGCTATTAAGAAAGGGTTTCATTTTGTTCTTCACTCTGATGTAATTGTTTTCAGAGTTTGCTTGAAAAACATGAAAATCTTGTAATGCTATTGTGCAAAACTTATGATGTCTAAATGCAAAATATTATATGCAGCAAATCTCTGTCCTTTAGAAAATTAAAGCATTTCCATTGAAGTACACAATTTTAGTTCTATATTCAAAATGTTCTAATTAATGATTATAAATATACATTAACTTGTAAAATTTTATAATATTCATAATGATTTTCTATATGAATAAAAAAACTTTGGGTAAGGATTTAAAATATTAACTTTTTATATTATTATTATTATTGGTAAATCTTATTTTAATATGAACAATTTCATATAGCTAACATATAAAATGATAGCAAAATAAAATACAGATTCTATGAATGATAATAATCTGTTACTTCTTTTTTTCTTATTACTAACTGATTTTGAAGGCTTACTAATTAATAATAAAAAAATGGCATGTGGTAGTCATGTTGTTCATTTAGATGCCAATTACTCAGTAACTGATTTGGTAAGAGGTATGAATTTAATATAGTACATTTATGCAACTAGAGAATCTGAACTTTTTTAATTAATTTTTTATAGTTTACCTTCTCATATATTTGTTCATTTTTGAAGCATAACTAATAAAGCATTCTGTCTATTCTTTTTATTTGGCAGTAATCTAAAATTATGGAATATCAGATACATTTTAAGACAACATTACACTGCATTATTTGCTATCATACTGCTGTTATCAAATATGCTGCATGTATAAAGTGATATATTTTAACTTTATTGCAATAATTGCAAAAGTGGAGAGAGTCCATGATACTAAAAGGAAGACAAACCCATGAAAATCAAACTTGAACTTTTACATTAGCAGAATTCTTTTATTATCTTAGAATTCACTTGGTAATTGATAAATGTGTAAAATTACCACCCATCATTTCACAGACAGTATTGAATGTAGTAAGTGTGAATACATGTGATAATTCTGTATACATAATGCAGAATACATGTAATGATTCTGTAGGCATAAAACAGAATGTGTGTGATAATTCTGTGTATGAAAGATTTCAAACAGTCATTCTATGAAGACATGTATTAACAAAAACTAGCTTTTAGAGAAGTAATACAAGTTTTCTTGCAAAATCATTTCATTTATACTGCCAAATCAAGTTAATGATGACATCAAAGCAAAGGGAAAGTTAATTTGTCAGGTAATTTCTTAGTTTATAAATCTAAAACTTAAGAGAGAAATGGCATCTGGAATCAATTTGATATAAATATCCATTTTTTAATATGTTTCTTAAACTCCAGTTTTAGAAGCCACAATTGGCGAAATATAACATGTTTGGAATGTATGCTGTTTGTAATACTAAAGCTTTCTTTATGAAAGCAATGAGCTATGTGTTTTTACGTTCTGCGATTGTGGTGATATGAAGATTTTCATATTTTGTAGGCTGAAGAAGAATTTTGATGTAATTTTTTATTTACCAGATTTATCTTCTTTCAGTAACAGTTGAAATTTAGGATTAGTAGATATTTAATTTCTAAATCTGAGAGAGTATTGAGATACAGACCATCTGCAATGAGTAGTTCATATTTTCAGACAATCCATTAAGCAGTTTTATGCCTTTTCAAGTTTACTAAATTCAGTCCCTTTTTTTATTGTATTTTCTGGGGCCTGCTTGCATTAAATTCTTACTTCCAGAATAATAAAAGTTTTAAGTTCCTGCCCCATAAAGCTTAATAAAAGTTCACATGTATGAGTTTTGTATTCATTTGTACTTTTTTGTTATCCGACCTGATTATATCAAGACTCTCTCCTTCCAGTTTTGAGAGATATTATGAATGCCACAAGGTTAATCTGACTGTTCTTTGAATAAAAATTTAAGTATTTGGTTATTTGCTTATGATGCAAAATTTACATTACAAAGTAAAAATACAGTATTTTTTAAATTCTAATAGAATGCTTAAAACAAAATCTGGTGGATTTATATATATATATATATGTATAAGTATTATAATATATATATATAATACTTATACAAATATTACAATGTATAAGTATTATATATATATATATATATATATATATATATATTGTTAGAAAGAGTTTTCTGTATACAGCAGCAAAATTATCTTCAAAGATACATTTTTGCCAGTTCTAGCCTTTTCATATGCTAAGTGAACTAGGAGTGAAATCCATTTGAAAATATCAATATTGAAAGTGCTTTTCATGTTCTTTTTCTAAGCAAATAAATTATATTTTATCTCTAATACTTAATATTAAATGTGAAGGATACATTGTGATTCAGTTTTGTAAATGTTGCATCTGATATAAGTGATAATTTGTAAGAAGAAAATAGGAATGATTTAAAAAAAAAAAAATCATAATGTAAGCTGCAGTGTAGAAATTGACATTTTTACTTTTAGAAAGCAGTTTTATCAAATACTTAGCAACACACTTCATATCTTAAGTTTTAGTTATTCTGATAATAACTAGAAATTTTTTAGTGTAATATTGCTCCTCAGAACTCTAAAACAATTATTGAATTACAAGTCTTCTCGTTTGCAGATTTGTCTTGGTCTACACCTTTTTTCTGTGTCTTTTATTATGATAGTTTTAAGCGTTTTTAGCTTCATGGAGAACTTGGTTATCCTTTCTAACCACATATCTTTAACCCTTTCCAGCAAACTACCTTTTAAAGTTGGAATTTCAGCGAAAAAAATGGTATGCACTCTAATCAGGCCTAGAGTAGTACAAAGGTAAAATTTTGTAAAGATAGCACTTACCGTTTAAATTCTGTGTGTGTGAATAGAGCTTTGAAATAAGATCTGAGGCAAGCATTGCTAGGAAGCGTGTAATAGAGTAAAAGATTTTGCCTACGATTAAAAAACACTAGATTCTGAATACATAGCATTACCCAGGCTGTGCCATAGGGAGGCCTGCTACTCTACACACACCCCCAAAAAGTTGTTCTTGGTTATATGATGTGTACGTGCACATAAATGGAAAGAAATGTAACTTTGCTATATGATATTTGCATTTCATGTTTACACTTTTGTCTATTTTTTCATGGGGATACTTTTTGAGGAAAGTGACACCACCTTTTGAGAAAGCACCACCCAACATTGCATGTTTTGCACATGTACCAGAATCCGTATCAGATTCACTATCTGAAGGGAATTCATGTAGCACTGCAGTGCTTCAGAAATGGTCAGTCCTCTCCGATCCCTTTGCAAAATGATTAAAAATCAGAAAAATATAAACTAATATTATATCTACAATTAGAAAATACAAACTATAAAATAAAATTAAATAAGCATCTACAACTCAAAACTATCAAAACATAGAGCTAACAAAACTTCTTTCAACAAAAGCGAAAGAAAAAAAAAAAAAAAGAACTGCTCTAGTGAAAAACCAAAGAGCTAACTGATAAAATTACAAACTTCAGAAAAACACCTCAACAATTTTTTGGTTAATAACCAAACCTCCCCACGAAAAAAAAAAAAAAAAGAAAAGAAAAGGGGGGAAACAGATGTGGACCCACCTATCTATTGTGAATGAGCTCACTGGAAAACTTAGTGAAGCAAAGATACAGTTGTTAGTCTTATCCCAGTGTTTTAGGGATTCCTTTTTGGGCACACCAGATGTTCGCCGTTCGATTTTAGGCAAGATTTCAAGGTAAAAATTTAAAACTAATATAGAATAAGGAGATTAGTATACAGTCAAAAAATAACATAGAAATTTCTTTTCAAACAATCTTTTATATCCTAAAAAAAATTTTGAAAGATTTCTTTGAAAAGTAAGGGTCTTTAAAACTAAACATGGCTAAAATATATGGGCTGGTTTATGTTGTGCTGCCATCTAGTATAAATAAAGAAGGTTCAGAGTAACCTATAAATCCTTTTTCTTTGTGTGCAGAGAGAATTTTTCAATATCACTAGATTGGGTACACGTGCCGCAAAGGGTTAAAGCAGGTAATATTAAGCTTCCTGATCTATCTGTACCTTCTTTTATTTTCTGACCTGTGGAAAAGAGTGTGCATATGATCACAAAGAACAATTTATATGCAGTTAAAAGTTTAAAAATTAGTTAGTGATTTTGAAGCAATATTGAATTACCATTTTCTGAAATGAGATATCTGATTTATCCAATCGTGAAAGCACTTAAGTAACAATTTAAAAAAAAAAAAAAAAAATACTTATTTTACTTTACTTTCCCCAAAGGTAACTCAACAGTTATTTTTCTTCTAAAGAATAATTAATCCATATGCATGCTATAAATATAATTCTGAAAAATATTGTTAACATTTATTAAAAATTATTTTAAATCAAATTTTTACGTGTGTTATATTGAACGAGAAAGAAGGCTTTACTTCGTTTTTTGCATTTTTAAGTCTTTACTTATATTTCGTATACGTACAATTTAAATTATAAATTTTCATTTATATAAATATAATTTGAAATAAGTGCTTTTTTATACTGTGTATGAAAAAAACCATTTTCTTGGAGTAGCAACCTTTTTTTTTTTTATTTCTAAAATGCCAGGCTTCTTTTCATTTATAGTTTTAATAGTAACTTTTTAAAAGGTTTAAAAGTTTTTTTAAATGCAGTAATTTGTAAGCAATATCTTTTCTTTCAGAATGTTTTCCTTTAAGTATTAAGTATGAATTGTATGTATAAAAATAAATTAGTATTATTTGATGGGAGAATAAAGCTTAGAAAACAGTTAGAAAGTATCTTATAAGTATGATATAACAAATATATTTAAAATATTTTCTACTGTCTTACTTCCCGGTGAACATATAACTTTGACATCATGTATACAGTTTGAATTTTTCCTGTTTAAATTGTTTTTCCAATACGATTCTTTATTATAAGCGGGCAGAAGCGTAACCATGCTTTTTTGTGCCTGGAGACAATTGAAAATTTCATGCTTCTTCCTGTTTGCAAAAATACAGTGGGAAACATCAGTTTGGTTCCCCCTGCATTCAGTACAACACTACCCAGGGGCAATTGTCTTCCTTGCCCCCTCTAGGCTATGCCACTGTAAGCAGCCTGATGTTTAATATTAAATAGATGAAAACTAATATTGAAATTGTTCAGGAATTCAGCATTTAAATGAAATGTATGAAGTGTAAATCAGTTGTATGAAATTTTCTTTCTTTCAGATAAGAAATATGTATATATTTTTAAATGGATTGTATGTTTTGAAAGGTAATATTTTTAATCTTCGAGGAAAAAATCCTAAGATGGTTTATGATTAGAAAGTTCGTGATCAATCCAGCAGATTTTTAATGCTTTAATTAATTTTTTCTATCATTTTACTAAGTGAAATATTTTATATATAGAGAGATAAAACTTGATACATACAGTACATATATATAACAAGTTATTTCAATAAGTAATTTTAAATACAAATTTCTTTCATGTGTAAATTTTCCTTTATTTTTCTGTCAGTGTTTTTTTAAGTATTATGGATTGTTGGAAATATTTATTAATGATCTTAGAGTGAATTTTTATTTTTCAATTGTTTACTCACATTTTTATTTCCTTACTGAATTTATTATACAAAGCACTTTAATGCATCAAATTGGAATCTTCACTTCCTATTATTCAACTGTCTTATCATGATTTTATTATCTGGGTAATAAAGTATTTTATACAAAAACACATATTTTTTGTTTTGTTTTTATTCATTACACTTTAATGTAATTAATTCTTTCTTTATTTTTATAATGTATATTTCAAACTTTTAAGTTCTGTTTTAGAAAATAAAGAATTGCAAATTTAGATATTTTTATAATTAGCAATTAAAATATAATAATTGAGGAATAAATTTCAATTATTAGGAATTTTAAGAGTTTCATCTTTTAACAGGATGCCTCAAATAAAAAAGTACTCAGATCAAATTCAGTACAACACTGCTTTTATTAGTTTGTATGTAAGGTAATTAAAAAGCATCTGGCAAAAATGTAAAGGCAGGTAGAGGGGTTCAAAATAAGCAAAGTTTTTAAAGAATATGTGTCAGAATGTCACATTGAAGTGGTTTAGTGCATGGCTGAGCAGTAAGTAAAAGCATTTTGCTTGTGCAAATCACCATTTTCCCATGCATATTTATTTCAAGCTCACGTGAAGCTTGCCAATATGCATTTTATGTATTGGGCAATAGATGAAAATTGAAGGTAGTTGCTCAGGGAATTATTTTCCATATCTCATTTGAGTAACTGCTCTATTTTAAGTGCATTCACTTTAGCACAAATCAAATGCATGTTGATAAGCTTTCTATTCATATAGTGATACATGCTGCACAAAATACTCATGGCAGTGACAGTTTTTGCTAGCAGAACACTTTTTCCTACCATTCAATAGTACCCTTTATCACCTCTACATGCCATTTCATCACAAACATTCCATTACAAAATCTACTTATTTGTATCTTCTCTTCGTGCATTTTTACATTTTGCCAGGTATTTTTTAATCATCCTTTATATAGTGATGTAATAACATACTTCATTTGCAGTGCATGCAAGTGCAGTCACTACAGGAAGTGTTGAAATTAGCCTCTCTGCGTATAGGTGCAGGTCTGTTTCTTTTTGCATTGTCTGATATCACTTTTAACAAGTTGGCATATAGCAGCCTTAGTTGATGATATAACATCTTGACAAATTTTAAAAAGTATATTTTATGTAACTCTTTGATAAAATCTCTTTACTTCAATGTTAACATCTCTTCTTATATTGTACATCTTTTCCCTAATTTTCTAGCATGTAGAAAAAAAAAAAAAAAAAAAAAAAAATCATAAATGTGATTTCCTTCAGTGCTATTACCTTAGATTAACATAACAGAACTAAAAGGAGGATATATCCTTAACAATATAAACACAAATCATTTTTAGTTCGGTTTGGGTGTACTTTTATTTGAGGCATCTGGTACATCTCACTTACATGCATATTAATTTACTAAATTTGAATAATTAATATACTTATGTTAGTAAACACTGAACATTGTGTTAAAAACTCACATTTTCACACAACATATTTTTCAATAGCTGCTTACCAAATTCAAAAGTCACAAATGTTGTTTTGGTGTCACAAAAAGTACTTGGTCAAAATATTTAAATCTAACACTCTTGAGTGATGCTTTTTTATGCATTGTATTTTTTAAATAAATAAAGAGATGTAATCTTATTTTGAGATTTACAAATAGGTACTTTCCTTTGTAGTCTGAAAAGAAAAAGTGCAAGTAATGTGAACGGGCACTTTGAACTATATACCCATCTTACTAAGATTTTATCACCTTGTATACTTATTACAGTCAAAAGTCGTTAATCTTGACTCGTTGGGACTTCGGCGATTCCGGATTATAGATCATCAGTTTAAATCTCGTAAGATGGCATGCAGAAATTCTAAAATTAAAAATATGAAACCGTAATTTATGAAATAAAGAACAATTATGATCTAAAGGGTATCAAAATTTACAAAACAAAAAAAAAAAAAAAAAAAAAGCTTAAAACAAAAAAAAATATTTATTTGTTTACTTTATTAAATATTTCTTTCAATGTAAGTTGTTTAAGTTGCTTTGTTTTATGTAATAATACTTTCTCTTTAATTCTATAAACAGACATAATTTCTTGTTCAGTTACAAAGTTCCGCTGTTCAAGTCCCGTTAATTGCTGTGCCGAGAATACGACTAACTTGTCAATCGAAATTTTTTAGTTTTCACTAATCTCTCTGTCACATTCTTCATGTCTTTATCCATTTTTTGCAGCAATTTCACTTTTTGTTTGTTGGACATCGAAACATACTTTCGTTTTGTAGATCCTTTGGAAGTTCCAGCATCGGAAATTCTATTTGACATAATTGAAAGTTCAAGTTTACTTTTATAAAATTGCTCTTACAGTCTGCAAAAAATAATAGCGGGATCCCAATTCGAAGATTAAGAAAACAACGCAATCATTAACTGAAATAGATAATTAGATAATTTTAGCTTACACAGTCCGTTATACATTAAACGCACAGGCGAAACGTATTCTGCACTTGCGCACACGCATGCGCAGTAGTCAAGGTCTTACGCGCAGCGTAACGCCTGTGCGCATTGCCAACGCGGCACATGCGCAGAAAGTTTTTAGCTTTGAGGTCCGGATTATGGGTGTCCAAATTAACGACTTTTGACTGTATAATGTTTATGAGGACCTTCAAATTTCCTAAATTTCACCAGTAATAATCTGCTAATTCATAAATGTGCAAAATATTAATATAATTCACAGATATATTGGAGCT